TATAGGCACAATCATATCAACTTCAATTGGCATATTAAGATGTAGATTACACAATGCAGGTAAAAGTTTGTGGACACCTGAACATCACATCTGCGGTTTACTGTATGAGTGTGTTAGACATCCCTTTACAAAACCATGGAAATTAAGGCTATGTTCACACCTAGGTGATTTATCGCGTGGATTGGGTCGCGCGATATTGTGCAAAACACAGATTCACATTGAAGTCAATGGAGGCGATTCACACCTTTGCAGTTTGTCGTGCGGATGAAATTGCCTGCCTTTCGAAAAGGTGCAGGAGCTTTTTTCGGGCAGCTGTCATGCGGTTTGGGTCCCATTGACATCTCTATTTATTAAAAACAGCACGACGACTGTGCGGTTTTCAATGAACAGTTACGAAATTGCGAGATGACCACACGAAAACAACTCAGCATCTGAATCGCCTAGGATTGAACCTAGCCTCATATGGGGTTCACCCCGTCTTTTCTGATGTTTTAACAGCGTTCACTGAGAAAAGTTTTCACAATATTTTGGAGTGTGTCTGTCAATATTTGTACCCATTCAGCCAGAAGAAGATTTGTGAGGTCAGGTATTGTTGTTGGAATAGAAAACCTGATTCCCAAGTGCAGGCAACTTGAGTTCTTTCACACCAATTTGCTCACACTATGCCTTTATGGAGCTAAAGTTGTGCGCAGGGGCATAGTAATGATTGGACAGAAAAGGGCCTTGCTTAAAATGTTGGTTGGAAGTGTACATTTATTTAAAATGTGTTTGCATTGACAGTACCCTTTACTGGAAAGACCTGGAGGGGTGTCTTACAGGGTTATTCACTGAAGTGTGAAGGGTTTGGAGAAGGCGGGAGAAGTGAACAATCTAGGATAACATAGCTGAACTGGAAAAGTTCTCCAGTTCAGCTCACTTTGCAGTTCAGCTATTTTGTTTTAGATTGTTCCCTTCTCCGGCCTTCTCCAAACTCTTCACCTTTAGTGAATAAACCTGTAAATATTTTTGGCTATACAGGTAGTGTTATTGGCCACATAGTGTGTGTTTAATAAATGTGCTCATTATTAGCTAAATAATTTTTCACATACTAGAGAATTTTCATGAATGTTCAAGAACGTACCAACCTTGTGTCAACTTAACTATGTTAGATATCAAAACCTAATTTTGTAAATTCATTATTTTAAAATATTAAAAAGCCTAATTTACTAAAAGATTTCGTTCTAAAATGTCACACTCGGCTATCTTTGACCCTGTTTTGCAGCATAAGAACAACTGCATGTACATCATTATGTTGGAATTTTTGGTCTCATGTATAAAGGACATGAATGTATTCTAAAGGTCTTATTGTCCATGAGAATATATAATTGTCCTTGAGTTATTTACCGTTTCAATATTTTTCTGTCTCAATGTGTTTATTAAAATTTCACAAGTAACACACAATGTAAAGATATTGGTTCACATTACATCAGTACAACAGGTATTCAGAACAATCATGAAATCACAGCAAATGCAACCTCATATTATAGTTACAGGAGCCAGAAGACTACACATTCTACAACTCTTATCCCAACTATCGGCCTATATGGCAATTGCGTAGATGGTAGGTCTGCGCTCCAGATTAGTGATCCAATTAGCAACATTAAACAGTGAACGGGGTAGAGGCCCCGATTAACATATAGATGGAAAAGGGGGGTAGAAGATCGTTAGGAGGGATAGTAGTGTCAGAGTTACCCGCACTACCGGGGATACGGGGGGTCCCATAGGTCGCTAACACCATGCCTCCCACAAATCAACGGAGACTGTACGTCCCCAACTCCAACACCTCCGTCCATGTGTTGTTCATCCTGCGTCAGATACCACAATAGAACAGTAGAAAGGCATCATGGCACACTCACAAACTAGCATGTAAAACAACTTGTCTCACCACTAAGGACAATGACAGAGGTTTGGATACACGTCTTCTGCAAAGGATGTGTAAGCCGCACTGCCGCGCCAAGGCACCTCTTATAGTGCGGTCCTAACTCTAAACTATGAGAGTCTCCATCTTGGAGCACATGGGGCAGAAGATATCAAATTGGGTGCAGGCTTGTCAGGAGGACGCCCCACCTCCTTAAAGGTACAGAAACACACAAGGGATCCCGCACATCCCATTGGCAGCTGAGAAACCCCATGCGTCGCTGCACCAAATCGGTAAAGCAAAACAAACGACAAACGCACTCAACAATTTGTTACCAGTTGTACAGTAAGGTGCACACGAAATGGGCTTTGAACAGTAGAACAGTAGAAAGGCATCTGTTTTGCAGA